ACATCTTGCACCACCTAGGATCTCCAAAGCAACGTAACGTCAATCATGTTCTGGGAATATCATGGACAGTGCAAGGTTTCCTTCGTCTGTCAAACGCACCCCTCGAACCCCAAAACCTGATGTATTTCTGAGAAAATCTGGCGAGGTCGTCAACTCATCGGCCCCAGACACCGGCATGGTGTCTCGGTCTATATGCTTGGTTCCTGAAGTCCTGGTCACGATCTGTGGCTGTAGGATTGTGATGGTTTGTTTAAACAGGTCTTTACGCTGATACAGAGAGTTCAGGACTCAACGCTGCAGCTCACAGATCGCGTCTACTGTTGATGTCATCCTTACCACATGCTCAGACACCTCAGCACCGAAATCTCTGCAAGTTGTGTAACCACATTCCCCGCATCGCGAGACATCCTAAATTTTGCGGTATGGCATCTCTGTAGGCACCCCACCCTAGGCCTTCAACCAAAGACCAGCCCGGCCCCACTCTTGTCCAGAACCGAACTGAGGCCTCTGTGGCCGTGGCTCCTGAGTGCCTGTGACTGATATGAAGGGTTTAGTGTTTAGGTTTACCTCCAAGTACAAACAAATGGAAGCTCGAAAGAGCTTCCAATTGTTTGAATTGAAGTGAGGCCTGAGGAGTTTTATGGGCTGGGGAATGCGCGATTAGCATGTGAGGAAGGCACTACAACCCAGCCTTCAACCCGTCAACTTCGAGGCATGAAGGCCCCTCTTGTTCTTGTCAGGCTTCTTTGGCAGCCTGCTTGAGGACTGCGCCAGTGGGGTTCCCCGGTAGAGTGTGCATGTCTCACAGGATGGATGGCCCTGCGAGTACGCAAGTACTAGAGCTTCTGAGGGTTTGAAATTTGTGATGGCATGTTGTACCTCGTGGCTACATGAAATCACAGGCAGCAGATCGAGAGTCTACCGTTCAAAGCGCCACCTGAACAAGTGGCACACAAGATCTTATTCGTCTCTAGATGCACAGACCCAGCGTTGCGGGGCTGCGAACAAACCAAAGCCTCCAATCATTTCGGCTTGCTTTCGTGGATTCTCTGTTATTGTCAAGGATGAAGGGTCTTAGATTTGAGGTCCCCAATCTACGGAACCAATCGAACATCGAGATGCCCAGCCAACACGGATCCCCACTCTGAGCCCCCTCTTCAGGAGAAATCTGAAGCCATCCGTGACCCTAAGCCCTGCATCCGCCTCTAAATCTGAATCTTGGAACCCTATTGCCCAAACCAAAGGCCATGAAACTCTCAGATCCCTACACTATGGGGTAATACTTCATTGCACGGTGCAGTGATCTGAGGTATCCGTGCCTTGGGAGCAGAAAGCCTAACACGGAGCCTACCTGTACAGAGGCTTCTGTTCAGGGTCTTGCGTGCCAGGCAGTTCATTTAATGGGACTGTGGTGTATTTGTCAAAAGGTTTTGGCATAGGCTTTGGGGTTATACATGTAACAATGTAGGCTCAGAGCTGGGATGATGCGGCTCTGCAAGAAGTCCCTGGTACCAGGCAGAGTAGACAGCCGTAGCCTCAGAAACTCCGATAAAGGGTTTAGGCTTTAGGGCGTAGGGTTTAGGATGCTAAGTGTTTCCTCCTGGATTGCTGCCGAAGTCCATCTTCCAGAACACATCCATCAAATATTCAACGTTTAAAAACCCCTTAATGTATAGAAGGAAGGCAACCTGCAGGCCTTCCGTTTGCATGTGGAACACAATCCCACGAGTTAGCACAGCGGCATTCCTCGACCCTATCCTGAAACCTACAACCGCCTGAACCCAACGAGTCCAAGTACACTTCTGGCATTGGGTTGGGCCATGAGTTGAATCTCATCTTCACAGCATGGGGTCTGAGGGTATATGATTTCAAGCCGTAAATCCTAGGTTAGAAGCTCCCCAAAATGCTGAAATTGAGGACCTGAACTTCAGAATCAGGATATCCTCGGATCCAACACTCAGCTGCAAAGCCCTAAACTCCTAAACCCAAACCCTAAACCCTAAACTCAGGACCAGCGGTCGATCCGTGCTCCTGGTCTACACAGAGTCCAGCTTTGTGGAGCAGACAACGCCAGCATCCTTCCAAGTGACCGATCAGCAGCCGGGCTGCAACGGTTGGGGTGAGGGGCGAAGGTTTAGGCGGATGTGTGGGTCTTCAGGGCCGAGGGTGTGAAACATCGTTAATAATTGTGGGGATGGGGTGTTGTCGGGCCAGACCTGCCGGACACAAGGATTCAGAACGATGCTGGCCAAAAGAGTTGCAAGGGTCCAAACTGCCAATTGGTAGTTCTGGCTATGTTTGGGTATGTATAATTTTCAATTTTGGCTTCTTCATTCTGTTCTGGTCTGGTACTGCAGCTCATGGCGAGAACTTTGCTCATCCTGTGGCATCGAGTGCTTCATGTGGGGGTTTCCTAACATCAGGGGGATTGATTCTCAAAGGGGATAGAAAGGTTCTGTAGGGGTTCTGTACAGATAATGGAGAATCAAGTGGAGAAATGGAAAATTACATGGAAGCTGTGCTTATAGAGCGGTTTATAGAGTCACTATAATAGGGATTATAGTATTTGGGGGTCTATATTGGGTTCCCCGTGCTATGGGGAACTACCATTTTGTTGAAGTTGGCACGCTTGCGTCAAGTGTTTGAGCTGCTGCAGAGTTGCCGGCAGTGCTCGCAAATAACTGCGGAGGTAAAACACCTAAACCCCCCCAAACCATAAAGATAGTCAAAAAATGCCATGATGCCACATACCTTGGGGCTCCCCCTGAATATTAACGCATAGCATGCCCAGTCCTTCCAGAAGCGTGGGCTGCTTGCTAGACCTGACCTTCCCTACACAGCTCGCCAGGAGCTTCTGCAAATCCAAGGAACGCTTAAACAAGGGTGGCCTGTAGTTCCCAGGTGGGTAGTATTTTTTTGCTGGGGGTACTATAGACCCCAACGAAGAGTAAGCTTTTTCGGCCCTCCATGCCCTCATGCAATCAGTAAAGCGCAGTGGCATACCTAACTTTGACAAGGGTTTGTGAATGCATGTTGCCTGCTAAGGAATTCGACTGCAGAAGATCTCAGCTTCCCCGACCTGGACCTGGACTATGGCGAGCTTGGAGGCGGATTTCTTGGGTGTAGAGGCCCACTGTGGATAAAGAGCGACCTGATGGTTTTGGTTAGGGTGCAGCGCTGGCAGGTTTCTTTCCAGTAAAGTTGTGGAGAGAAGATACAATGCATCAATTTGGGCGACATGGCTTTACGCACAGGTTCAGGCACGTGCTTGTAACGAGACAGCGTCCTGAGATACCTGGCCAGGCACACTCTCTTGGTCTGACCCCGTGATGACCAGCGAGATTGATCAGTACATGGTCTACTTGGCAGAGGCGCCTCCAAAACTAGTGGTCTTGGCTTTAGGATTTGAAGCTTCGATTTCAATGACTGCGGGTTTGGCGGGTGTAGAGTGCGCTGTATTCAGTGTCTCAAAAGAAATTCAGATCTCCCAAGCCAGAGGTGGGAATGCAGGTGATACAACCCCAAAACAGACCATGGTAAGAAGAACCATAGGACCATAGGAGCAATAACAACAATGATTCAATAGTAACAAGGCTTATATTCTTAAATAGTCACAATAGTAGAGCACGATGACAATTTGAAGGCTCATCATCTGAGCTTTGAGCTTGGGATGGGGGGGAAGCCTCAGCCTTCAATGTAAAAAGGCCCAAGATGTCGACATGCAGCGCTTGAACATGGTTTCAATAACGAAAACTTCCGGGGATCGCTTTTCACTGGCGGGTCCGTCAAGAAGCTGGCATGAAGCAGGGTCCCTGTAAAGGGATCTGATGATAGAAGGCTCATGAGTTGCTGAGATTATGCCTGAGGAGTGGCTAAGGGGTGTGATATGAGCTTGGCAAGGCATTTCAGCAGCTACTGGCGTAGGGCAAATTATGCTCTAATTTGCAGCACGGGCCCTCATGCGCCCTTCCAGCTCGTTGCAGCAGACTGTGGCTCATGTGTGGGGGGTTGTCCCACAGCCGGAATTATCTAAAGAGGTGCATTCCTGAGAGCGCCTCAACTAGTTCCTGCATCTTTCATAGTTGCACGTAACTTCTTTCACAAGAGAACGAGAAGATGCGTAGAATCTGGGTGGAGGTTGAAGTTGGGCGAGACTGTTCACCACCTGAGCCAAGATAGTCATAACAGTCGTGATTTGAGAACGAAAGAAACCACTGGTCAAGTCCATGTGGTTCGGGCAGAACTAAGCCTAAACAGAAGCTCCGAGGCCTGGATGAGGTTTGCGTTTTGGCATGCGCCCTTGGGCGATTGAACAAGACTATCTAGCAACCGCAATGGCGCATTAGGCATAGTATTCGCTGAGTGAAGTGTGTGAACTATGCTTACGGTCACAGGCTTTGCCCGGATGTCATGTCCCGAACGACATTTTCTACGCCCCCAAGCTAGAGATCCGAGCCCCCAATCAAAGCCTTGTCCAATAGTCCGTCATCCCCTACATATTCCTATATTCTGCTGAATTCCTGTCAATGGTCATATAATCCCCACAGATGCCGGCAGAATCTCCGTATATGTGCTTTCCAGAAACTGGGGGCGGCCTTTTTGGGGGAACATGGTACATTTGGGTATGTATCGGCGCCCGCTCATTTGTGGAAACCCAGTATAATTACTCAGGTGGATTACCCACCATGGGTACAAGAGGTCCCCCATATAGTGACCATTATCCCTGACAGTCACTATTAGTGGGTAGGGGGTCCTCCTAAATTCAGTCAAAATCCATGCCCAGGATGATGTTGGCCAAGTCCGCTCTCTTTTTGCGAACCTAAGCTACCCCGCAACAAACCTCACAGCTCCTTTGCATCACTGGCATCTTCTTTCAGGGTGGTTCGGATAACGTAGGGTTGATACAGAGGCAATAAAGTGCCTGCAGGGTTGAGAGCTTAAGCAGGCAATTTTTGGAAAGTACATGTCTCAGGAAAGACAGATGCTTCAGCATACTGATCATGGGGGCCCTAGCCCTTGTACTCACGAAGCAAATTAGGCTTCATTATTCGTCCTTGGCCGTTTCTTCTCAGGTTTGCTTTGTGGACTTACTCGTATCGCTGCACACCAAAACCCTGGCCAAGGTTCCAGCGGAGACAAACAGGACAGACAATACGTACTGGCTGGCACCTCGACCTTCTTTCGTCATAGGATTGATATGGGCCCCCAATGGGGTGTTTGGGCTTTAGTCTCCTGAGAGCGGGGCCATATCAACCCTATGGTTTTGTGAGTGTTGTTGGGTTTAGGGTGTGTATGCCTGAGGGCGCTGAGAGTCTCCCGTGGGCTTGCAGCTCGGGTAGACTAGAAATCCTGGCTGGAGAATTTGAAGTCGTCTATTTATGGTATGAGTGTGAGATTGCGCGCGTCTTGGCTATTCCGTGCCTGGCCGTGGGGGTGGGGGCCAGATGAAGCTGCCCACATTGTGGGAAATTCCCAATTCAAGCCGCAGGTCTACACGCGCTCCAGCTTGATCGAGCAGACAACCCCTGCGGATCTTCTGATCTTCGACTCCAATGGGACTGTGGATAACCCCTTCTTCACGGGCAAGGCGCGTGGGTTCAGGAATGCGTACGGCTCTAGCATGTTGAGGGGTGAAGGATGCACAATGATGAAAGTTATGGATTTTGGTTCAGGGGGCCGGAGCTTTACAAACTTGCATGAAGGATGTCAGGACTCCGGCTGCCTGACTCTGTCTTGGGACTTTGTCTGGGTTGCTGAACCCCTTTTCCCTTTCTTGGGCAATCCTAGAAGCCTAAGGGCCTCATGAAACTGGAGGAATTCCTCCGATAAACCCTGCCCATACCAAAGATTATTCGATTAGTCATTCTGCGCACCCGCGTAAACACAAATCTTGACTAAAGCTTGTTCTTGTTTTTTAACTGAAAGCGCTGTAGCTTGACAGCGGAGTTGCCTTTTGCCGAAATTTTGGAAAAGCGTGGCAGTACAAATGCTTGGGGTTTGTTGCTTGGGGCAACCAATTCATAAGCAGTAGATGGCGCCCTCGCATATTTCCAAAGCCCTTCCACTGAGGCATCCACGCGCCCTCAACCCTACAGCGAAGAAGAACTGTAATGCTCAAGGTCAGATCATTGTTGTGAGCGCTACGAAACCTACGAAACCGGGATGGTGCAAGTAAGTAATGTTGCGCTCTGTTTAGTGCATGGCACCCTCCCTAACACTAGAGTCTCCAGAAAATTAAAAATAGGCGTCCTCAATAAGGCTCCCACGGTACTAACGGGTGTGGGGAGGCCCTGGGGATTGCTTTGAAGGGGATCGTCTGGATTCAGTTAGGGGCCCAAAACCAAAACACATCAAAGAGAGTCCTGAAGCAAAAGGCCCAAACTCTTCAGGCGACTTCCGAAACCCATTCAAGTTAGTAAACATAGTGCAACATTCAATATAACCCTAATATAATCCCTAGTGGTTTCCATTTTCTTTTCCATAATCCCTATAAAACCCCAATATAAACAGCATCAAACTTTATGAACTTACTTCAGTGCTGCCTTACAAAAAGGGCCCTTGGCACTGAACAACTGGTATTTGAATGCGTTGATGGGCATTCTTTCGCAAACTTAGGTCCGTTCGTAGCCAACCAATCAGGACCCTGATTTCACCAAAAGCTCCGAACATGGGCCTGCAATTCGAGTCTTGCAAGGTGCAAAGGACACCTCAAATATATCACTCGACCTAAAATGATCCCCACACAACACCAATCTATGTACCCAGAGGCCTAGATCCTTTAGATGCCGTCTGGTCTATGTACTTACTATTAGGGACCCTATAACTCCAACTAAGGGTACTGGGGAAGGCTTTGTTGGTACAGAAGATCACCCTAATACCCTGGCATCACCAAAGTTCGCAGGATTTGAACCTGGACAACTTAGAGGGCTTCCTGCAGTGGACGCCGCAGGCCTTGGGTAGTGTAGAAACCTGGATGTCTGTTCAGGGTTGGGGGATTAGGGTTTGGAGGTTTGGGCATTCAGGGTTTGGGTGTTGTGGTTCCGGGCCTAGGGACTTAGGGATGCTGGGGGTCTTGCCAGATTCATTTAGAGTAATGTAGAAGCCTTGACAGGCCTACAGTGGACGCTGTGATTCTTAAGCACCAACGCATGAGGTTTTTCTGGTCCCTTTGCAGGGAGGGGCGCTTCAGCAGGGCACACCATCCGACTCATGAGTATTGCTAGTAATATTCTTGCTACTATCTTCCCTGGTACTGTTATTATTACAATTATGATCAGTATTACTACTAGTATGTTCATAAGTAGTATTTGTTACTACTATTGTTATGAGTCTTGTTGCTCTTGTTATTATCAAAACCTCATCTTGTCCGCGTAAATTTTGATGAGACTCCTTAGCCCAAGCCTTTATCAGACAAATTGTTCTTGAAGGTTTACAGTGCTCTACGGTGCCTTCCCGCGTGAACTCCACTCACTCTCGCTGGTTATTGCGATGCTACTGTGCTAGTTTAGTATAACCCCTATTCTGCCCCTATGCCTTTCGGCATATGTATCGAGTTTGCTAGCTGAATAGTTGCTAATTCTACCAAGTTTTTTTGCAACTCGTCGACATTGTGCTCCCTAAGCGACAATGACGAACCGCAACCTTGCATTTAGGCACACTGTACCGTAATCTCAAAGGCTTGTGGTATATGCCGTGCCCTTAAACAGGGTACACTTTGAAACTTGAAGTGGCAGGCCGCTGCGTCGCAGATCCAGAACATCCAGGACATTGTCTAACTTGCTTTCTGCCAAGGGTTTTCCAAAGATCTAGGGTTTCAGGCAAGGTGCAAGAATTAAAGAGTCACAGTGACACTGTTCACCCGGCTCTACTCCTCGAGGGAACCCCCCCAGGAATATGTCGTGTACCTGGCAACAAGCGAAACCGGTGACACCCGCTCGCAGGTGCGGAGGGCTTCTGGCTGTTTGGGGCTGAAGCTTTGAGGGTCAGGGGATTAAGTAAGGAATGGAAAAGAGAATGGAGACTGCTATAGTATTTGGGGTTTGGGGTCTAGGGTTGGAGGGTCAGGGGGACTTTGTAATTAGGCAGGATAATAAAGCCTATGACTCATAAAGTGACCTCAAATCTATTTGCTAAGTCCCCCTGACCCTAATCCCTAACTCCTAAACCCTAAGCCCTAAATGACATAGTAGCTTCTATTGTCTTTTCCATTCGCACGAAATCCCCTTGCCTGACACTCAGAGGGTTGAAGCTTCAAGGTTTGGGGCTTCAATGTCGGATTAAGGGATGATGGAATGGAGTAGTTAGAAAGGAGTGGCTGCAGTAAGCGTCTAAGGGTCGGAAGGATAATCTTATAAGTTTCAATAGTTGCGGCGTCTTTCCAACCAGCATAGATATCGCAGGGTTCATGCGCAGTGTTTTTTGGACTTCTTGGCCCACTTTACGTTTTATGGTGTAAGTCGGGTAAGTTTTCAGCATGCTTTTGGGATGAGGGTTCTGGTCCGATCTTTGCAGAGTTGTGCAAGCGCTTGAGGTTGAGGCAGGTTAACGCTTCCTGAGCCCGTACGAATCCAGCCTTGCGGCCGAAGCAATTAGCCTGCTAATGCTTAACTCTTCGATTGCGGCCAACACGAGTTCTCCTCCGAAGCCCTGCGCCCAAGCAACACCTTTGAACGCACTACCAATGCCTGGCAAGCGCAAACTCGTATCCCACCACTAGGCCAAGATTGAGAACAGTTCTAGATATCTTAGACAGATGTAGCTTGTTTGGGCCAAGTAGTGCTCTGGGACGTGTAGGTCAAGCATCACCAAGTCCAGCCAGCCAGGACTGACCGAGTTGAAGCGCGCCTTCGGGGCAATCATGTGCTTACCCAGCAGTATCCCTGCAAATGTTGCCCTAAACCGCAAGCCCTCAATCCTAAACCCTAAGCCGGGGGAAATTTCCATGCACCTTGTTAGGTGCACTTGGACCCTCCAGGCCCTAATCCTTATCATGGGGACCCCAAAAACCTTAAATCCTAAACCCATTATCCTATTAGATCCCCGTTGCCCTAGAAATCCTTAAGTTACATCCCGCTTATATAACCCCCATAACCTTCCTCTATCGGCACCCCTAATTTTGGGAAACTCCCTTTTGTGTAGCCACGGCCTTCTCCCGTCTCTCGGGCAGGTTGGTGCTGCAATACCGGTCGGAACCAACCAGCTCTCACGATGCATCCAGAGTGGCTTCAGGGACGCTACTGTAGGCACATAAGGGAATTATGTACGGGGATTGGGTGGGTCCTACACTGACTTTGAGAATCTCTCGGGCAGGGCGATGTCTCAAACCAGCCTTGCCCCGCAACCTCGAGAAGACTACCATGCAGGGATGCAGTGTGAACAAAGGCATTTACTGTAATGTTGAGCTGACAATAATACACCCGAACTTGTTTTGCTTGTTGGTCTACGGAGAGGAGAGGGGTCACAATACTAAACCAAGGGGTCGGGGTAGGACCAAGTAGCGCCGCTCGTATACGACGGTAGTACAAGTTACTTGTAACAAGTAGACGGGAATCCATTAAAATTGGGATATTTTCGGGCGGACAATATTAATATTGCCACCCCTCAATTATTGCCACTGAAACTTGGTCAGACTCCTTCGGGCTCCAAACTTGTTAGAAAGCAAACGCAATCTTCCAGGATTTTTCTGGCCTGGCAACAATATATATACATATATGTATATCTCTATATATATATATACATAGATTTTTTTGCCACCCGCTTTCTTAATGGTGGCGGAACATTAGGGGGCTTGTCTGGGGTTGCAGTGGATATTACAGGAATTTGAGTGCTTTGCTGTGGCTTGCTTTTTCTTTGTCTGAATGCTACAGGATTGATTGAGGATTAAGTTTTGCGGTGTCAAGGCTTGGGGTTTAAGACTTTTGTCTGCTGGGGCTCAGGGCCGTATCCCCAAAAGAAGCCATAAATACAATGCGTAATCAGGGTGTCCTTAGTTGCAACCATTTGCAATGCCTACCGGGCCCTGGTTTGCCTTGCTAGCACTAAAAGAGGCCGGCTCTCGCGCTGAGGCTTTATTGGTTTGTGTGAGCTACGCACGGAGAGACCTCTGGAAATGCTTAATGTGGCACCCCTTTTAATG